CTCCTCCAAGGAGACGAACGCGCTCTCGTTCACCTCGTGGCCAGGAATTTTACTTACACTTAAGAAATCTACCTACCTATCTTGAGAAAAAAGATCTGAGAACTTTCTTTGGAAAGCTGGATGTGTCTAACAACCAAATCAAGTTTTTACTGGACAAGCATCAAAGGAGGACAAGAAATGCGTTTTTGATGTTGAAGAATCAGAAAGATTTTAATATTGCTCTGGAACATCACAGGATGTCTCTTTTCAATCGTCCTGTTTACATTTTTCCTATTTCTAGAAGATCTATGTTGAAACTAATTGAGTCATATGAGAAGAAGAGCTCACAAGAAAGCGATCGGCCTGGACAGGCTGTATCGGAAAAAAGTTATCGGGAGGGGCATTCTGGCCCAAAGATGTGCATATATATAAGAAACTTTCCATTTGATGTGACAAAAGTTGAAGTACAAAAGTTCTTTGCAGGATTTGCTATTGATGAAGATGATGTTTACTTGCTTTATGATGACAAAGGAGTTGGGCTGGGAGAAGCATTGGTAAAATTTAAATCTGAAGAACAGGCAATGAAAGCAGAAAGTTTAAATCGTCGAAGGTTCTTGGGAACAGAGGTACTTTTAAGACTTATATCTGAAGAACAGATGCAGGAGTTTGGTTTAAATGTTCCACCATCAGCACCAAGTGGAAAAATGCAGGTTCATTCACAGGCATATGACAGAGGTGAGCATTCCCGTCCAGCTGGTTCACCACCTGGACAACCACAAGGACTACCTATGCACTCATTTGGTCCTCCTGGGAGCTTTAGGCATCCTCCTGATGTTAGACGACCCCCTGAGGATTTTCGAGGTCCTCCACCTTTTATGGATTTTGGTGGTGATGGCGAACCTTTTGGTAGGATGGAGTATGGAAACAATAACATGGGAGGCTTTTCTGAGGGAAGATTTATGTCCGATCCAAATTTCAGTGGTGGTTCTGATCGTGTAACTCCTATTAGATTAAAGAACTTGCCATTTAGAGCCACCCCTAATGAAATTTTGGATTTTTTCTATGGCTATGGTGTCATTCCAGAGTCTGTTTCTATACAATGTAATGAACACGGATTACCTTCAGGTGATGCCATTGTTGCTATGACAAATTATGAGGAAGCAATGGCTGCTATTAATGAGCTAAATGATAGACCAATTGGCCCACGCAAAGTTAAGCTAAGCTTGCTTTAAAGAGAGAAAATGTTTCTCAAATTAAAAATTCTAGACATCACAGTATTGATGCAGTAAGATGGTTTCTTATTTACAATTTTTTGTTACTGGAAGATGCAGAAGAAACAGTTTCCATAAACAGAGGAAGTTGTAAATAGTGTCATGTTTAGTTATTTTGGATTGGTTCAAATTGACATCTGTAGGGTTTTTTAGAAGACGTCTTAGAAGTGTATTATGCTTATTTTTATTTTTATGGCAGATGGAGAGATCAGTAATCCGAATGGATTCTCTGTTGACTTGTAAGGTGCATATCTTGATATTAAGATATACAAACATGGAGTTGTAATGCATTTGGGGGTTTTTAGTTTTGCGTTCATTCCATGGTTCTATGACTCTGCAACATTTGAAAATGTAAAACTGCTGGTTGACTTGGTTGTACAGACTGGTCAAAGAGAACAATTTCAGTGCCACCTTCATTAGTAAATATCCTTGGAGCTATTGTCAACCCTATATATGTAGAATAGGTAAATTGTAAACATGAGTGAATTTCTTATGTAAACTGTTTAGTCTTGTTCAGTTTCACGTGGTCGCAGACATCTCAAGTTATTCTCATAAAATTAGTTTCCTGTTCATGTTAGCTGCCTGTGCAACTTTTTTAAAAAAATAAAAATAAAAGGCTTTACAGCTATGTGGATTACCTGTTTAAAATTTGTGTACATTTATTCATTGAACGCTTGGTCAGAATCATGCTGACCATCTTTCATAGAAGGGGTGAAAAATGGATATTCAGTATACACTGTTCTTTGCACATGTTGGTTAGTTTTGGCTCTAAAACTGGTTCTCAACTTATTTATCGTTGTGGGCCACAGGTTGAGAACCACAGTGCGCTCCCCTCCCCCCAACTTCCCATAGTCCCCTATGCACATTGCCCCCCGCCCAGAGACTCCTTCACAGAGTGGGACCAGGATTGCAACCTTGAGCACAGAACCTGCTGCGTGGGGCCGGCAGCCAGACCCAGCAACCTGGACCCTGGGACCCTGCCAAATGGGGCCAGGTAGCCGGGACACCTGGCCAGGAGCGGAGTGCCTGGTACGGGCTGGCAGCTAGGACCCGAGGTACGGGGCCAGGAGCAGAGCCCCACCTAAAACCTGGGGGTGCTGCCAGACCCCTGCAAAACACCAGTTCCAAGTACACGCCCTCTCCCCCCTCCCCCCCCCAACCTGCCCAGAGACCCACTTTCCTGCACCCTGCTGCCCTGCGGCACTCACCAGCCCCCTGCTGGCAGGAGTGCTCCTGAAGGCAAACACTGTCTGTCCCTCAGCCAGCCCCACCCCCTGCCAGACCAAAGTGGCAAATTTTGAATTTTTTTTTAACACAGCTCGGCCACAGGTTGAGAACTGCTGGGTTGAGAACCGCAGCTCTGAAATCTATGTCGCTCAAAATTTGGTGGGATTTTCTGTTCTGTCTCAGCATAATATATTGTCTACAGTGGGGAGTGAAAGTAGAATATGGGTTTTTTAGTGTCCCATATCCATATTCTTGAAACTATTATTAGGAATAAGTTAGTAGTTATAACAAAATTCTTAAATGCAAGCTAGTTCAGTGACCATGCTGTACAGACTTACTAACATCTGAGCTGCATGTCAGTGGCAACTACTCAGTTACATCCAGTTATTTACTGACCTTTTCCTATAGGAATGAAAAAGACGTTGGCTTAAATCTAGATGTTTAGAATGCTTTTCTAGGTAGTATGCTGCTACTTTTAAAATTGAAATGAGGAATAGAAAGTGAGGTTGCTTGTTTCTTTTGTGGTTCAGAAAATAAGTTAGGTTCCCTCTAATTGTGATTATTTTTGCATTACTGTTTAAATTGAGTGGGAGACTTACGAAACTGAACTAATAGAATTTAGATGTTTAAAAGTCTACCCTGTGTTTTATCTGACTGTCAGAGTGCCCCACAGTATCATTTTAATTCATGAGTTCCCCACTGTAACTACCTTCATACAATTCAAACAGTAAATATTAATATACAATTTTTGATTCATTGTAAGTAGTGTAAGGTAATAATCTAAAGAAATATCAATCGTGATAGTGGCACTCTTACTGACAGCTCTAAACGATACAGAGTTGTGGGTTATTACTGTATTTTAAAACAGGTCTTCTGAGTTTTTGTAATAACTAAGTTCTGCTGATGCCATGTAATGGATCCTTCTTCATGGAAAGCACTGTTCATGTGGGTTCCATGAGGGTTTGCCAGCATTCCTGTACTGTAGGAAAGAGAGCAGCTTAGGCTTTCTTACTCCTTGGCCGATGAATTTCTGGGGTTTTGTATGAACTGGATGTGAGGGTTAGTGTGTGCCACTGCATATCAATGGAGAAAGGTTAAAGCACTTCTTGTATGGGGCAGATGAAGAGCCAGAACTGTCAGTAAGAAAGAGCAGTTGTTGGCAGTAAAAAAGGCATAGTAGATGAAACAGCCTGCCTTTTGAATTTGAAAGAGGAGGGGCTGATTAATTAGAAACATTCATATATCATACAAGCATGCAATACAGTGCATTTTTTTCCCTAACTCATCTGGGACACTGAAAGCAATAGTGACTTGAAATCAGTTTGAATTTTAAGTTCAAAATAAAGTTTGGTTATGATGATGATTTGTTGAATGTTACGTACTTATAGGAACACAAACTTGCATAAAGCTTCATATGAGACCTATAATACATTAAACAAATTGCTATAGGAAAAGCTTAATTACCAAATTTTTAAAACCAAACGCTGGAAAACTTCTGGCTGCTTTATTGCTACTTCAGTTTTTTCTGTCATTCAAGAAATTTATTTTGTGTACTAATTTTAGAAATGTGCTTTTACAAATTCCTCGAAGCAACCACTGAGAACTTAACCTCCCTTTCCACCCCCTACTTTGAATAAAAGGGAATAGAAGAAGAAGAGCAAGCAGCAGCATCCCTTGTATTTTTTTAAAATAAAGAATTTAAATGGCAACTTTGTTTTTGAATTGTTCCTTGTGAGTAGTCCCATCTTTTTTTAAAGGGTAGCAAAATGGCTTTCCATACTTCTGCTTTAAAGGTGGAAATGGCAGTGTTCTGCCTGTACATGGAGAATCTGTGAGATGAGAAATTAAGAGATACAGTAAAACTTAGGCTTCTGAGTTACTTTTAAAAATTATACCTACTCTTGCCTCACATTTAAATTTCTAGTTGAAAGTAGTTTCAGTAGTAAGCTGGTTTTGAGACCTCCTGCCAGTTTTTATTTTTAAATAGCACTTAATATCAAATCTCAAAACTACTACTCCAGAGAGATGCCAAAATAAAGTGAACATAATTTTGTCTAATCTTGAGTTAGAAAAAATTTCCAGACAGGAAATCTGTCATTGCAGTGACAAATACAAATTATAATGAATTTCATCTGGAAAAAGCTTCTGGTAAGATTTCGGTACACTACTTTTAACTTATTTTAAAGTTCACAATTCTTCCAGCTCTTACAAAACACAGTATCTAAACTAATGGCAAAAATTGCTAACTCTTTCAAACAAGTTCCTGCATTTTTGAAGTTATAGAACCTTTATGCTGCTTACTAACAGGCAGCTGGAAGTAAAAATATAAATCTCACAACATATTTGCTGTTTCTTTGAAGTGTGTAGTTCCATGCAGCTGTCTATGTAAAATGGCTTCTCCATCTCTAGGGCTGTAGTTAATTATATATTTTACTGACAAGTTTTTTTTTATCAATAGGCTAGAAACAACAGTTATGGTACGGAAAACTGGATTCTTTTTCAGTAATTGTACATGGTAAGAGATAAAACTGACTAATGTATCGGGGAAGATATTTTGGTTAGACTGTTTAAAACACATTTTTTTTACCATGTTTAACTCCAGTGACTAATGAACGGTGAAAAGAAAAGATGGCTTTGATAAAGATTTAGACCTTTGCCCCTTTACCATATAAACTCAGAGCCTGGGACATCAATGAAATCCTTAGGAAAGACCGAACTTGATATTACTGACTTTTCTATGGCAAAAATCCTTAAAGGTCATCTTCATACACTATTAAGAAGCAGAATTTAAACCCCTTGCAGGTCACCCATAATTTATAATTATTTTCTTGGATGCAATAGTAAGCACTGATCCCCTGCAACCTCCATTGGTGGAAATGCCAGAAGAACATTATTTAACTAAGAAATGTTGCCATGAAAAATATGTACCTATCATGGCTTTCTTAACATGTTAGGGCTCTCTTGGGTGTTACATTTTGGCTTTCTAGGTTAGCTACAGTCATATTCTGCCATGGTTCAGTTACTTTCAAACACATCATACAAGTCCTAGATAGATTCTTCAGAAAAGTACATAGCAATACTCAATTCATCTGGCATAGAGGAAAATTACTAAGAAAGGATGCTGATGAGTTGCATTACTGTACTAGGAAAAGGTAGCTGGAAGCCTAGTTCTCCAGTATTTTTACATATTACCTACTTGCTTAGAGAAATTCTCTACTTCCCTGGTATCAAAGAGATGGGGGCAGTGCATCCAGATTGAACAAACCCAAAATCTGAAAGTCTCCTTGAGTTGGATCAGGTCTGCATTGATGCAGGCAGTGGTGGCACTAAGCATTCTTGGATGGCTTAAACTATAACATTGACTATGTATCTTTTGAGACACTGGGATGGTATTTTAGTCTGCAAATATTTCTTGCGGTGCAGCACATTGTGGTGGATTCTGAAGCAGAGGAAACAACAATCATGGTCCTCCTCTCTCTGATGCTCTTCTGCTGTGCTGACAGGGCGTGAAGCTGCTGAGCAGTCTTCTTCCTTAGGTGCCATGCCTGAAGTACAGGAAATAAACTCATTGGCAAGGAAAGTACTGGACCAGTAGAACAAATGCTAACCTCACTGAGCTAGGCTCAGGCAGCGTGTGGCATGCCAAGACCACCACCATGCTAATGGTCTGGAACAGGTAGGTCTCAGGTACCTGTGCATTAAGGCAGAGGTGAAAGTGGATAACAAGGTATATTTGGGATCTGATTAAGCGCTGAGGTTTGCAGGAGAGTGGTATGCTCATTGCTGATTAAAGTCAAGAAGGAACTGACCGGTATTTTCCAAAGAGCAGCATATATACACAGCAGGGGCTGGTGTGTAGTAATAATTAAGGAGCCTGGCTTCTGCTACCATCCGTGACCCCAAAGCCTTAAGTGCTAGGGAAGATGTGCTGAAGAACTAAAACCCAGCATTTGTGCAGCCTTCTCATTCCTATCTTTAAATATTCCACAATCAGAGCTAAGTTACTCCTATTGATAATGCAGAAGTGAGAACAGTTCCACACACCACTGATGATAAAAATGGATTAGTCAAAATCGGATGCCTTGTACTACATAGGAGCATAGGTCTGCTGAAGGGGGTGTCATTTTCACTCATTTTTTTCACTGTACAGTACCTGCACCTGAAGTACTTCTTGACAGTTTTACAAGAATGTTAAAATACAAATCCGTGAGGTCTGTTTTCAGATCTCCTAGAATAATGAGGAAAGGCTTCCCAACTAGAATCTTGAGCATTTGATTCACAAGTTATAGATTGAGACTGAAAAAAAGACAAGTGTTCTTTCATGAACACTTTGTTCCTGAATTTGGTTGTGTTTTTATGCTCCATACTGTGCTTTGTATTTAGGGAGGCTAGTGTTTGACTTTTCCACCTCACCTTTCTCTCCCCCTACCCTGCCATCAATTCGAACTGAGGTTATGGTAAAACCATCTATACTGTATAATCAAATATGAGCACTGGAGGAGACATCTCACATTTTGATCCTTTATTGTAAATGGCACTTGAAGAAGTGCACTTTATACCTCCTCACACAGTTCCAGGAATTAAATTGTATGCAAAGGGTTAATATTTCACACATTTCTTGATCACATTAATTTTATTCTGAATTATATATTAACTCAAGAATTTGTTGATGTATTAAAGCCTAGAAGTATAGGTATAATGGATCTTTCTGCCTTAGAAATTCCAAGAATGTCAAATTTAGATTCCCCTGGTTTTAGTGGAACAGAGGTTGGAGGTTTTAATGTGTACAGAAAACTCGCCCCCACAATAACTGAAGGGGGGGGGGGGGGAGATGTAGATGGCCACAAAAAGTAGTGGAACTAAAAATTCATTCCTCAGCTATGGTCTTTTGTGATGTTGGACCACTGTTCTCTAGTTTCTCAGGGCTTGGCTACACTTGTGAGTTAGAGCGCATTAAAGCAGCCCTGGGCTCCCTAGCTCACTACCTGTCCACACTGGCAAGGCACGTAGAGTGCTCTGACTCCACTTCAGTGGGCAGATTAACGCTTGCTGTGCCTTGGCTGAAATGCCTGGGCGTCAGTGTGAACGGGGTGTTGCATTACTGTGCTCTGATTAGCCTCCGGAAACTTCCCATAATCCCCTTAAATCAAGTGGCCACTCTTGTCATTGTTTTGAACTCACTGCAGGAATGCGGATATGCCCTTTGAAAGCTCCATTTCTGACAGCTGTCGTGCTTATCTGCCCCGAGACAAAGCAACCATTAGTGTGGAATGCTGTGTGTGAGAGAGAGAGAGAGAGAGGCCGGGGGGGAGGGGTCTGCTGCTGTCTGAATTTAAAAGGCAGCATGCTGACATGCTCTCTCTCCCCCCATGTACACACAACACACTTTGTGTCACACTCCACCCTACCCCCCCATAAAAGCACGTTGCAGCCACTTGCATGCTGGGATAGCTACTACAATGCACTGCTCTCTGTGGCTATTGCAGGAGCTGCTAATGTGGCCATGCCAGTATGCTTGTAGCTGTCAGTGTGGACAGATTGCTGTGCTTTCCCTACTGTGCTCTATGAAGGCTGGTTTAACTCAAAGCGCTCTATATCTGCAAGTGTAGCCATGCCCTAAGAGAGAAAATATCTGAACCTATAATGTAAGAAACAAGCAGGAAATATTAAAACAAACCTTTCATATTTTTCTCATGCATCATAATACAGCAAAAGAGAACAAGTCCATATTTTGCACTTTTGCAGGTCACTTTTCAAAATTCTTATTAAATTGAGCAATTTAGAAACCAGGCTAAAATTGTCCAGCTCACAGTATTGTGGCTGAAACAAGTGTTCAGTGTCAAGTTATGTTCTAATTAAAACTACTGTTTAAAAAGATTGCTTGGTAAACTGCGTACAAGCATACAGTAGGTGTTTTAATAGAGCTAAATGTAAATTTGTACATGGGGAAACAAAGAATGTAGCCCATGTTGTATCGTAAAAAGCAGTGACTCTGAAAAAGATTTAGGGGTTGTGGTGGATAGTCAGCTGAACATGAGCTCCCAGTGTGACACTGTGGCCAAAAGAACTAATGTGATCCTGGGATGCATAAATGAGAACCTTGAGTAGGAGCAGAGAGGTTATTTTACCTCCATCTTTGGAACTGGTGTGACTGCTGCTGGAATATTGTGTGCTGTTCTGGTGCCAAAAATTCAAGAAGGATGTTGATCAATGGAAAAAGGTGAAAAGGAGAGCCAGGAGAATGTTTAAAGGATTAGAAAACATGCCTTATAGTGACAGAATCAAGGAGCTCAATCTCTTTAGTTGAACAAAGAGATTGTAATTAAATTACCCATTTACTATCTATGAATACTTAGATGGGGAACAAATATTTAATAATGGGCTCTTCAGTCTAGCAGAGAAAAATATAACACAATCCAATGCCTGGAAGTTGTATCTAGATAAATTCAGACTGGAAATAAGGTGTACATTTTTAACAGCGAGAGTAATCATAGAAATGTAGGACTGGAAGGGACCTCAGTAGTTCATCTAGTCCCTTCCCCGGCACTGTGGCAGGGCTAAATATTATCTAGATCATTCCTGACAGGTCTTTTTCTAACCTGTTCTTAAAAATCTGCAATGGTAGAGATTCCACAACCTCCCTCAATGACCTTGTTCCAGTGTTTTAACTACCTTTACAGTTAGGAATTTTTTCCTAATGGCTAACCAAAATCTCCCTTTCTACAATTTAAACCCATTGCTTCTTGCCCTGTCCCTGTTGATTAAGGAGAACAATTTATCACCCTCCTCTTTATAACAACCTTTTATGTACTTGGAAGACTCATGTTTTCCCTGAGTCTTCTCTTCTTCAGACTAAACAACCCCAGTTTTTTCAATCTTTCCTCATAGGTCATCTTTTCTAGACCTTTAATAATTTTTGTTGCTGTTCTCTGGATTTTCTCCAATTTGTCTACATCTCTCCTGAAGTGTGGTGCCAAGAACTGGACACAATCCCCCCGTTGAAGTCTTATCAGGGCTGAATAGAGTGGAAGAGTGCCTTCCCATGTCTTGCTCACAACACTTGTACTACTACATCCTAGAATGTTTGTTTGCTTTTTTTGCAACGGTGTTCTATTGTTGACTTATTTAGTTCATGATCCACTATAACTCAGATACTTTTTTGCAGTACTCAGCTCTAGGCAGTCTTTTTCCTGTTTTGTGCAATTGATTATTCCTTCCTAAGTGTAGTACTTTGCATTAGTTCTGTGTTGAATTTCATCCTTTCTATTTCAGATCATTTTTCCAATTTGTCCAGATCATTTTGAATTCTAATTCTGTCTTCTAAAGCACTTGTAACCCCCTCCCAGCTCTGTATTGGCCACAAACTTTGTAAGTGTACTCCATGCCATTATCCAAATCACTTATGAAGATACTGAATAGAACTGGACCCAGGCCAGATCCCTGTGCAACCCCACTCAATCTATCCATCCAGATTGATTGTGAACCATTGATAAATACTGAGTACAGTTTTCCAGCCAGTTGTACAATCCCCAGTTAATTTTTTCATCTAGACTCTATTTCTCTAGTTTCTTTATAAGAAAGTTATATGAGACAGTATCAAAAGCCTTAGTAAAGTCAAGATGTATCGCATCTTATCCACAAGGCTTGGTATCCTGCCAAAGGAGGATATTAGGTTGATTTGTTCTTGACAAATGCAGGTTGACTGATCACATTGTTTTCTTCTAATTGCTTACAAATTTATTTATTTGGTCCATTATCTTCCCAGGTACTGAATTTAAGCTGACTGGTCTAATTCCCTGGGTTGTCCTTATTCCCTCTTTTAATAGATAAATACTATATTGGCCCTTTTCCTGTTCTCAGGGTCTCTCTCCTGTCCTCCATGAGTTCTAAAAGATAATTACTAATGGCTCAGAAATCTCTTCAGGTATTTCCTTAAGTATTCTTGAATGTATTTCATCAGGCCCTGCTGACTGGAAGACATCTGAATTGTCTAAGTAATTCTTTACTTGTTTCCTATTTTAGCCTCAACTCCTATCCCATTGACACTGATGTTCACTGGTAGTTGTCCAGTCACTGCTAACTTCTTTGGTGAAAACTGAACCAAAAAAGGCATTTAACCCTGGCCATATCTATATTTTGTTATAGTCTTTCCTTCCTCATTGAGTAATGGGCTTACCCTGTCGTTGGTCTTTCTCTTGCTTCTCATATATTTATAAAATGTTTTCTCGTTACCCTTTATGTCCCTAGCTGGTTGTTCAACCAGTGAAACAATTTACCAAGGATTATGGTGGTTTCTCCATCACTGACAATTTTTATATTAAGACTCAATGTTTTTTCTAAAAGATATGCTCAAGGAATTATTTTGGGGAAGTTCTAGAGCTTGTCATATGCAAGAGGGCAGACTAGATGACCACAGTGGTCCCTTCTGGCCTTACTCTGAAAACACAGAAGCACATGCCTCTTATATGCAGTTACATCTTGGTAGAATTCTGACACTCCAGCTGCTACAACAGGGGTGGACAAACTTTTTGGTCCAAGGGCCACATCTGGGTGGGAAAATTGTATGCAGGGCCATGAATGTAGGGCTGGGGTAGTGGGTTGGGGTGCAGAAGGAGATGCAGTGTGCAGGAAGGGGCTCAGGGCAAGGGGTAGGGGTGCGGGGTGGAGGAGGGGACT